CCGGGATCGACGCTGCCAAAGCCCGTCCTGTCCTCCCACCAGTCACTCTTCCTGCCGCATTCCCTGTCCATCCCCTGCTCAGGCCGTGGCCACCTGCCGGGCTCCTCAGACCTGCCTGCGCGCTTCCTCCTCCCTCCCAGCCTGTCCCACTCCTCCCCTAACCCCGGCTTCCTCCTGCACCTCCTGTGGGACCTCCCCGCTGTACCGCACCCCACGGCAGCCCCCGGCCCCGCCCAGCCTTCCCAGCCCCTGATTATCCCATTTTCAGGGACTTACTTATTATTGTTTTTAGTTACGTATTTGCTGTCTGCCTATTACACTAAGACTCGGGCTCCACCAGGGCAGGCCTGTTGCTTGTACCCCTTGCCGGGCTCCCAGCAAAGAGCAGACTCACAGTGTCTGTGGTGAGAACACAGGGTGGCTGTGTCACCGGGTCCTGCTCAGTCACAGAGCAGTCACCGGCCACTCCGCCGGCAGTGAGGTCACTGGAGGGTGTGGGCGAGCAGAAAAGGCAGCAGCTCACGTGACCTTCGCTCCGGGTTGATTCCTCACACAGACACGATGGGAGGCTTTGGCTGAGCGCTGACAGTCACTCTTTTAAGAAACATATATTTTATTGATCTTTTACAGAGAGGAAGGGAGAGGGATAGAGAGTTAGAAACATCGGTGAGAGAAAAACACTGATCAGCTGCCTCCAGCACACACCCCACTGGGGATGTGCTCGCAACCAAGGTACATGCCCTTGACCAGAATCAAACCCGGGACCCTTGAGTCCACAGGCCGATGCTCTAACCACTGAGCCACACCGGTCAGGGCTGACAGTCGCTCTTGATCCCGTTGTTAGTTTCCCTCAAGATGACTCCAGGGGCCCCTCTCCTTCCTCCCAGAACCGCCGGGGTTCCGGGCCACAGGTGGGGCTCCCAGAGGCCCGGCCCGTCTGCCCACTCCGCCCGCACTCCCCCGGGGTCCAAGGACATACGCACCAGCCCCGGTGACGGAGTCAGGACCAGGGGGTGGCTGCTGGGTAGCTGGTCGACCGAAGGGCCCCTGAGGGGAGGGCAGCTGGTGAGAGACACGCCCAGGCCCCAGGCGACCTCTGAGAAAGCGGGGTCTGCCCTGGAGGGGTGCGGTCTGAGCCAGGCCCCGGCATGTGGCTGGGAGCGAGAAGGGCCTCTCCGGCCGCCCCAGCCGAGTGTGGGCGCCCTCCCTCCCCAAGACTGAGAACCCACAAACCGGCCCCTGGCTCTGCCGCTCAGCCCAGCCCGAATCTGGTGTGGAGTCCAGCGCTCAAGGCCAACAAACCAGTGTTTGGGAAGTCACCCACAGCCGGCCTTGGGGCCGTCTGATCCCAGGGAGGAGCCCATGCTCAGGGAGGGCAAAGGCCAGGAGTGCCCCCCGCCCCGGCGGGGAGCGGGGCTTTTTCCACTCAACCTATACTCTCCTGGCTGCGGGTCCGAGCCCCCTGGACGGACTGCCCTGGAGACCAGCTGGGGAGCTGCCGCCTGGCTGGCCGGAGGGGCCTGTGCATGGGCTGCTGGGAGCACCCGGAGGGAGGCCCTGCGAGGGAAGGGGCGGCTTCGGGCGGCCGGTGGTGACCCGCAAACACGCCTCCTGGCAGTTTCTCCCGGATGAACTTATCGGCCTTTCATTCCGCCAGAGCCGCCAGACAATCTGCCTTCTGTTAGGTTCAGACAAAAGGGACCCCTCCCTGGCCCTGGCTTGGCTGCCCTGCCTGCCAGCCCACTGCTCCACGCAGACCTGGAGGCCTGGCATCTGGGTCAGAAGCCTCGGCCTCAGCCAGGGCTGCCCCTGCCCCTCTCTGGGCCTGAGGGAGGAGCAGCGGCCGGGGCCTTCCTCCCCCTGCAGGGCCCGGGGGCTGGGCGCCGGCCTTGGCCCTGGTTCCCGGAAAACACGCCAGAACCAGGAGCCCTGGAACCTTAAGGCCAGGGAGAACTTTGACCCACGGGGGTGTCTGCGGGCTTTTATCTGAGTTAGAACCAAGGTCTTGGCTAATGGGCTCCGCCCCAAGGAAACACCCAAGGTTTGCCTTAGCCTCGCCCAGGGCATGGACCCTTGGGGATGATGGCTTCCGAGCGGTGAGGCTGGTCGCCCCTTGATTTCTTTTCTTTCTTTCTTTTTAAAATATATATTTTATTGATTTTTTTACAGAGAGGCAGGGAGAGGGATAGAGAGTTAGAAACATTGATGAGAGAGAAACATCTATCAGCTGCCTCCTGCACCCCCCCCACTGGGGATGTGCTCGCAACCAAGGTACACGCCTTTGACTGGGATCGAACCTGGGACCCTTCAGTCTACAGACTGATGCTCTGTCCGCTGAGCCAAACTGGCCAGGGCCGGCCACCCCCCTGATTTCTTCCGTCCCAACGGAAATGGAGCCTCCACCACGGGCACCGTTAGGTGATGGTTGCAGTGTGGGACCAAGCGAACTGGTCTGCGGCCTCCAGGCCTCACGCTCCAGCGGGGGGGCACACCTTCCCGCTAATCTTCCCGGAGCCTCTGGCCGGGGTGCGTGGAGAGAGCGCTGGAGCTGGAGGGCCGGAGAGGCGGTGTGACTGGGTCCTGAGGAGCCTGGTTCTCGGCCTCTCAGTCCTCCCCACGCCCATGCTGCTCCGAGCAGCTGCTCTGGGCCTCATTCTTGGTTTTGTTCTCCAACTGGCTGTGGGCACAGGCCTGGCCTGGGATGGCCGCGGCCCTGCGGGGGCCCCGGAATAGCCCCCAAGAGTCCCTGGAAACTTGGTGCCGGGCCCTGGGGCGGACGTCAGTTCCTCAGGAGGGGAAGGCGCGGGCTCTCCTGACTACAGACTGACAAGGCCTTGACTTTACAGCTTGAGCCCCAGCCTCTGGGCCCGCTGCCCACCTCCCTCCTTGCCCTGCAGTGGGCTCCATGGGGCCGGTTAGGCACCAGAGGCTGGGCCAGCTCCGGCCGGCCGCCTTCCTCCTGCTAGGGCTTGAAGGGACAGGAGGTTGGGTGAACCCTAACTCCAGACAAAAACTAAAGCCAGCCAGCCACGGAGGCCCAGAGCTCAGAGCTGTTCTGCCACGGTTGGAGGGCTGGGCACAGTGGGGGGAGAGCGTCAGGGCCAGCCTGGGGCCCAGCACCTCCAGCTGTGCCCCAAACCCGGAGAGGCAGGGACCGGAGAGGATTTAGCTCTGGTCCTCACTCCCGCCTCCGGGATGAGGAAGGCTGGCTCCCCTCTGAGCACCAGGTAATTGAGGTGGAGGTCTGCCCTCGGCCAGGGCTCTGGGGGTGCTTGGGCACGGGTGCTGGGCCCCTGGCTGCCAGAATGCGGTCTGGTGCTTTGTCTGGCGAGACCAGTGCCAAGAGGGAGGAAGGGGAGTTGCTCTGGCATCCGTGGGTGACCAGCTTCTGTGCCGATGGCAGAAGGGGGCTGTCTCGTGAGGCCTGCACCCAATGCAGTCTTTTGTTTGGGAGAAACATGTACATACATATTCAGACTCTGAAACCCCGGGCAGAGCCTGGTGTGTTTTTCAGGGCCAGTGGGTGTGGGTATGTTGAGGGGGGAGACTCTGTAAGCGGAAGGAGTGAATGAAAGAATATATTCTGTTTCAAAACCCAAATAACTTCCTGCATTCTTAGCGTTTTCAAAGAAGCGGCGTTTTAGAGCTGAATTTGAAAGGCCATTAATTTTTAGTTGAACATCGAAGACATGATTTGGGGCCTTTTCCTGGTTCTTAGTTCCCTTTCAGGTCTGTGTGAATGGGGTTTGGAGCCTCTGCAGTGAAGTATAAAGAACCACCATGTGTGTGGGAGACGGGCATTCCTTTCTGCTCTCTTTGACACGTGCTCCTCCCAGGTGCTCCCGAGGGTGGGGTGGGGGGTGGGGGGAGACCCAGAGCTTATCTGGAATCAGGGAGAACCCCGGGGCAGGCAGCAGCCAGTTCTGTGTTCAAAACGCTCACTGACAAGAGCTCAGGCCTGGAAGGGAGTGGACACATCCTGGGCAGGGGTTGGGGAGGAAAGGGAGCGGGGTCCCGGCCCCAGCCCCAGCCCCTGACTGTACAGGTCCAGTGACTGCTGCCCTGTGCGGGCCTCCCGGCGGGGGCTGTAGTAACCCTGGGGAGGGCGGGAGCGCCTTTAGGACCCTCGCCTTGGAAGGAGACAGACCAGCAGTGACCATCCCTGGCGCCCCCACCCCGGGAAGGAATGCAGGCCTCCAGGAGTGACCGGTGCACCAGGCTCCGCGCTATTTCTGGCTCCCACGTAGGCATCGGATTCCGCGCTCAGAGCCAGGGGGAGGTATGCGGGTCGAGCCGGAGGCGCTTCCCGGACCTCCGGGCCAGCTGGGAGTCAGGCCCTGGGAGAAGAGCCGGCTTCCCGCCCTTCCTGCCCGGGTCTCAGTTTCCCCATCCGTGTTTGGTGCCGGGCCACAGGCCCACCAGCTGGGCAGTGCGGAGCACGCTTCCCGGAGGTTTTCACGGCCGGGAAAAGCCTCCCGGTTTACTTTGGGGGAACCAGGAGGGCGGACTAGGTCGGCGGGTGGCCAGTGGTGGCCAGGCCGGTTCTCCAGCCTCACCCCCCCACGTCTCCGAGGCCCAAACGCCCGGGGTGCGGCGGGGGGATGGGACACCGCGCCCATCGCTCCCTCCCCGCCCCTCCCCCACGCCCAGTCCAGCAGGCTGGGGGGCCGCCGGCCTGGGCGTGTCCCCGAGGCGGACGCGGCTGGCATGGGGCGGGGCTTCCAGGTTGGGGCGTGGCCTCAGCTGGGGGCGTGGCGGGCCAATGAGCGGCGCGGCGCGGGCGGGGGGCGGGGCCTGCGCGCGGGTGCGGCGCGCTGCGGGGCGGCGGACGCAGGCAGAAGCGGGCGTCGCGCGGCGGCCGGTCGGCGCTTCCCGGAGCGGCCGCGGGATTGGCTGCGGGGCTCTCGTGTCAGGCGGTTGCTAGGCTGCGGCCGCGCGCCCCGCCCTCGCGCTCGGCGCCCTCTCGCCGCCCGGGACGTGCTCGCGCGGAGGCTGCGGCGCGGCGCTCGCGCTCCTCGGGCTCGGCGGCGGCGGCGGAGGCGCAGGCGGCGGCTTGGCGCCGGGTCCCCTCGGGAGCGGCGGAGCGTCGTGCGGCCGGAGGAGCGAGCACCTGCCGCGGCCCGCCCGCCGGCGCTCGGTGAGTGCGCCGCCCGTCCCCCGCCGCGGAGCCTGGCCGCCCGGGCCGAGCCCCGGCGCCGGCCGAGCCTCCCAGGAACACCTGCTGCTGCCGGCGGCCCGGCCCGGGGCGGGGACGCCGCGGCGGACGTCCTTGCGGTGAGGCGGCGGCGCGGCCCGGGCAGGAACGCCCCCCGCGCTCGGTCCCCGGGCGGGGATCGCGGGCGTTCGGGGCTGGGCGGGCCGCGCGCCGCGGCGACGGGCAAGGCCTCGGCCCGGCCCGCGCGCTCGGGAACGCGAGGCCTGCGCGGCGGCCGCGCTCCGGGGCCGCTCCCCGGCTCCCGCCGCCCCGGCTCCCACCGCGGGTTCGCGCGGCCCGGGCGGCGGAAGCCAGAGGCCGGGCCCTGGAGCGCCTCGGCGGGAGGCGGCGGGGAAGGGCGCCGCGCCGCCGGCCCTGAGCTGCCCGAGCCTCGGGGTCACCTCCCCCACCCCCGCCCGGAGCCGCACTCCAACTTGTGTGGAAACCGGCCGCCTTCACCTTTCACTCGGTGGGAAATGTCCCCGGAGGAAAGGCTCCCTGGGCCGCAGATTTCAAGTTAATTTCCTGCCTCCTCAGCTGCTGGCTTAACATGCGCGTTTTAGTCCCTGTGGCTTGGGAACAGGTCAGGTTTGCAGGTTTTCACAGGGAACCTGAAGTTCTGCTTCTGGGGGGAGCAGAGCCTGGGGCCCCCGAGTTATAGCCTAGAGTTCCAACTTGGGAGCCCCCCTGGCGTTTCCCGAAATAAGCAAGTCCAAGTGGCCCTGGCTTGGCCCGGAGACTGGGACGGAGGCCGGTGTGGACAGGGTGAAGCGCAGATAAAGAGCTGGATGTGTCCTGGGGTCTGGTGTAGACGGGACTTTGTGACTTTATCGGGTTGTCCTGTGCTGAGTGCTCAGTGACATGACCCTTTTCGAATGACTCTATTTAAAAAAAAAAATTCCACCGCCCTGGCCGGTGTGGCTCAGTGCATCCTCCCATGCGCAGAAGGGTCCCGGTTCCATTCCCAGTGGGGGGCGCGTGCCCAGGTTGAGGGTTTGATCCCCGGTCCGGGTGTGTATGGAGAGGCAGTCGATGGATGTTTCTCACATCAATGTTTCCCTCCCTCCCTCTCTCTAAAACCTAAAAACATTAAAAAGAAATTCAGCCTCGGAGGCATCAACACCGACAGGTGAGATAGGAAAAGTTGAACAGGACTTTGTTTTGTTTGGGACAGGAGCCCATGGCTTGGTGCGGGAACAAGGCCGAGGAGCCGTTTCTCGGAGAAATCAGATTCGAGGAGGGAGTGGGGTGCCTGGTGTGGCTCTTCCATGCCTGTGGGGTATTTAGGACTGCGATCGGGCGTCTTGTATGGACAGCAGGCCGGAAAGCGGTGCTTCTGTGGAGGGAGGCAGCGGGCAAGTCCTCACCGCTCCGAACGGTTAACTTGGCGGAGACACGGCCAAGTATTTGGCTTTGCTACCTGCCAGCTTCTGTGGTGGGTCCGGCGCCCACGAACAGGCTGGCTGTGCCCCGAGGGAAGTCAGTTTGGAGGGTGAGGGGGGTCAGGGAGCCTGGGATTGAAGGTGTCTGCCCACTCAGTGCTTCCTGGCGCCTGGGGATGGGGGAATTCCTGAGCGGAGGCCTGGGGGCAGCGAGGTCGGGCACAGGGAGCCGCTCGCACACCAGCGCCCAAAATAGCACCTGGGAGCCCTCCAGCCGGACAGTTGGGAGCCGGCCTTTCTGTGCTGAGGAGTTCACGCTTCACGTTCAGGGTGTGGGAGCCCAAGGGGCTTTTCCCAGGGACACGGGAGGGTCCCCACTTGTGTTTAGAAAGATCTTGCTGGTGGCCGGTAGGTAGGTAGTGAGCGGGCCGGGGAGAGGGTCAGGACCTGGTGTGAGGCGGTCAGCCATGGAGGAGAGGGGAGGGGAGGGCCATCTGGGAGGAGGCCAAGAAGGTTGAGCAGAGGGGCCGCCAAGCCGCCAGGGGAGGGGCCTGTGCTCAGGAATGTGTGGGTCAGAAGCCTAAGCGTGACCAAGAATGTTAACCACTTCCTCTGCAGGTTTGCTGGTGTCTGCTCAGCATTGCAGGTGATGGGGTTCGGGGGACCCCGGCCACTCTGCCTGGGGTTGTTTAGGGCGGGAGAGGCGGTTGATTAAAACTTTCTGTCACTTGAACCTGGGGGTACACTTCCTGTCGGCCAGGGCTGGTGTATTATCTGTGAGAGGAGGTGTGCAGGTGCCTTTTCACCTGAGACAGAGGAGAGCGTGTTCAATTCTTTACACACACACACCCACCGCCCATTATTCCTGCCCTCCATTATCCCTGCCGGCTAGGTTAGGAATGCCGTGGTCCTGCACCAGCCCCAGTGGTCGGCAGACTCATTCGTCACCAGATCCAAATACCAACAGGGCAACGATTGACATTTCTTTGGAGAGCTGAAAACCACCTTCTGCGCGTGGGCCACGAAGTTTCAATCGCACTGTCTGTGTGCGCCCGCACGTGGTATTTTGTGGAAGAGCCACACTCAAGGGGCCAAAGAGCCGCATGCGGCTCGTGAGCTGTAGTTTCCCGACCACGGGGCTATTGCTGGTGCTTCTGAGCATCTCTCTGTGAGCTGAGGAAACTGAGGCACAGATGAAGGGAAGTCCCCAAGGTCATACGACGGTCATCGCGTGCAGAGGGGGGTTGCGCTCACTTGAGCATTGGCTCTGCCCACTGGAGCAGCAAGCTGCTGCCGACGGCCGGGATGGGTGCTTCTCGGCGAAGACCACGCCCAGGTTTCGGTGGTGGCAGAGTGCCATGGTGACGTAGGAGAGGTGATCAGGACCCCCCCCCCCACGGGCTCCAGCACGTGCTGTGAGGGGCCATTCTTAGAAGCGAGGGCGTGTCAGAGCCGCTCTGGGCCTGTGCCACTCACTGGGCACCGGGCTGGAGTGAGCCAGGGGCTGGGGTCCGAGGCTGGGAGGCAGACTGAGGGGAGCAGTGCTTCTGACCCAGGGCGTCGGGCAGGGTTAGGGCTGGGTGGTGAGGGAGAGGTGGAGGGAGGGCGCCGCTCTGGAGGGAAGAGGGGGACGGAGGCCGGGGGTGTGTGTGTGTGAGGGTGTGTGTGTACGTGTGTGGGGGTGTGAGGGTGTGTGTGAGGGTTTGAGGGTGTGTATGGGTGTGGGTGTGGGTGTGAGGGTGTGTGTGAGGGTGTGTGTGTGTGTGTGTGTGTGTGTGCCCGCGCGTGCGCGTGCGCGATGTGGCTGGTTGGAGCTGGGATACACATGGAGGAGTTGGTAGTTATGTAGGAAGAGAACTTTTTTGTTTTTAATTTATTGATTTTGGAGAGAAAGAGGAGGAAGGGGGAGAGAAAGAGAAAAACACCCATTGTTGTTTCATTTATATGAAACAAACATCAATATTCTTGTACGTGGCCTGGCAGGGTCAAACCCACACAGCCTGGGTGTATGGGGCCCGCCACCGCGCTAACCACTGGAGCTGCCAGGCTGGGGCTGGGGCGAAGGCTTCAGGAGCACTGTGGCTGCCTTTGCCCTCGGGCGCCATGCTACCTCTGAGCCCGCGTTCTCTGCTTTCCTCGTGCGGGCAGCCAGGCCCGGGGCAGGGGTGGGGGTTTGAACATGCTGGGATGAGTGGTCCCTGCCCTGTGCCTCGGCGCTGTTTTTAGAGCACGTTTGTTAAAGCGGGGACAGCGAGGCAGGAGGAGCCCAGGAGCGCCGGCGGGCAGTATTGGTTTCTAGAAAGTTAGGGGAGAAGTGGGCCCCGTGGGGCTGCTGGGGGCAGGTCAGGGGGAGCCCGAGGCCCTGAGGGTTTAGGGAATGCTTGCCCAGGGGGGTGTGGGGGGAGAAGAGCGGAAGGGAAGGCTCCTGAGGCAGGGAGCCCCCCTGGGGTGCGGATTTGAAGCAGTTTTCCTGTAAGGGCCTGGCCTCTGACCGCCCCTCCATCATTACTGATACTGCGCAGACAGCAATTGCTATAAATAGGGTCTGAGAGTAGTTTACAAAATTACACCCGCCCGAGGGCTTAATTTAGCCTAATGAATAGGGCTTCTCTTTCCTCTTCTCAGGTCGGAGAGCTAAGCATTTTCTAGGCTTTCGGGCCGGGTGGAGAGGTGGGGGGAGGCGGTGGTCACTGTCCTCAGCGGAGGGGTCTGGTGGTGACGCTTGTCCCGGGTTCTCTGCTGGAGGGCAGTCCATCGGAGGAACCCTCGGCATATGCTGACTTAATCTGTCCCTCTGTCTCAGGAGCAGGATTCTCAGACCCATCAGCTAAATAGCAAAAAGCCACTTCAGTGACGGAACTGTTCTTACCCTGCCCGGCACGGTGCATTTGACAGTGCTGCTCTCACGGATGCCTTCTCAGCTGATTGTCTCTTAGAATGCCGCTGCCTAGCTTTTAGACGTTGTAATTCGTTTAAAATTTTGAAATTGTTCCTAATTTTTGGCCCTGGATTGACTGTAGAAAACATTCATTTCCTTTGTCACCCTGGGACAGAGCCGGTGACTAACTGGCGGTGTGGGCAGGGGACTGAGTGGCATTCCTCGGGAGCCGGGCATTGTGGTGCGAGTCCGTCTGGGTTGTGGGCATTCAGCAGGAGGGTCCTTCTCCCCCCTCCTGGCCTCCTGCAGGAAGACAGGCTGGGAAGCAGCCTCGCCGGGGAGGGAGGCCAGGCGCTTGAGAAGGTTTCTGCCCAGATCCGCGGCAGCGTAACCACATACTGGGCAGAGGATTCCCGTGGAACCCGAACGCTGTAGTGGGGGGAGGTTTTTCAAATAACACAGACTTAAAAGAGACAGGCAGGGTAGTAGGAAGAAAAGGGAAAATCCCTTGTCCCCCAATTTTATTCTTAAAAAAAATATATATATATATTTTACTGATTTTTTACAGAGAGGAAGAGAGAGGGATAGAGAGTTAGAAACATTGATGAGAAACACCGATCAGCTGCCTCCTGCACACCCCCTACTGGGGATGTGCCCGCAACCAAGGTATATGCCCTTGACTG